GCATGTTAGATACTGATCCGGGGTCGGGCACCGAAGGTCGCCGATGCGGACCGCTAAGGGCCGCGATGGCCGCGATGCCTCAGACAAGGCCCGAGGGTAGGGCATTTGGCCTCAGCAACTCTAAAGGGAGTGCTGTGCCCCCTAGTTGTCTCTTGGCCCTCATTTCGAACTTACTGGGGCTGCCTTGTTGGGGTCAGGGCTTGGGGTCGTGGTCAAGTCGATATTAGAGCTGAGGTACTATAATGTAGTATACTGTCACGGCCGTGCATTCCGGCCCGTTAGCCGCCCGTCCCGATGCCGCCCGAGCCCGTTACCGCTATGCGAGCGTGAGCGCGAGCCCCGACCTCAGCCCTATCCTCCCTGAGGACCCCCTGCTCACTTCCCCGCTTGCCCCTAGGCTCCCCTGCACCTGGCCGACTCCCCCACAGCCACACCGACCTCCCTGCCCCGAGTCCGCCTCTGGTACTGACCTAGCGTGACTCCGCGACATCGCCTACTCCGCTATGATACCATCGCCGCTATCGCGGCCCTACACCCCTTCGTTTATTTATCTGTTATTGTTTGTTTTGACCCTCGGTCATTGCCGGCCGCGGTGCGGCCAACCCCGCTCTTTGTTCCTATTTGCTTCCGGACCCTTCGGCCTTCGGCCCGGGTCCGCTTCTATTCATTTCACCTTCATATATATATCCTGTATACTACATTATAGTACCTTAGCTCTAATATCGACTTGACCACGACCCCAAGCCCTGACCCCAACAAGGCAGCCCCAGTAAGTTCGAAATGAGGGCCAAGAGACAACTAGGGGGCACAGCACTCCCTTTAGAGTTGCTGAGGCCAAATGCCCTACCCTCGGGCCTTGTCTGAGGCATCGCGGCCATTGCGGCCAATAGCGGCCCGCATCGGCGACCTTCGGTGCCGACCCCGGATCAGTATCTAACATATACAGGATATATATATGAAGATAGAATGAATAGAAGCGGACCCGGGCCGAAGGCCGAAGGGTCCGGAAGCAAATAGGAACAACGAGCGGGGTTGGCCGCACAGCGGCCGGCAATGACCGAGGGTCAAAACAAACAATACAGATAAATAAACGAAGGGGTGTAGGGCCGCGATAGCGGCGATGGTATCATAGCGGAGTAGGCGATGTCGCGGAGTCATGCTAGGTCGGTGCCAGAGGCGGACTCGGGGCAGGGAGGTCGGTGTGGCTGTGGGGGAGTCGGCCAAGTGTAGGGGAGCCTAGGGGCGAGTGAGGGAGTGAGCAGGGAGCCCTCAGGGAGGATAGGGCTGAGGTCGGGGCTCGTGCTCGCACTCGCACAGCGGGAATAGGCTCGGGCGGCATCGGTACAGGCGGCTAGCGGGCCGGAATGCATGGTCGTGACAAGGCATGGGAGAAGGTTGGGGAGGAGGTCGTCTGACCCCGGGGAACGCCGGGTCGTGACAATGGTGAAGGTTTTGAGATTGTGGTAAGTACCAGGGAGGGCTGAGGAGAGGGCAGCGACAAAGTCTTGGTCATCGACTTTGCAGCCCAAAGCTGCCAATTGGTCATGTACTCATCATATCTCATTGATCTGAGGTTCCAGTGGTCTGGTATCTTCCATGTGGAATTGATAGAGAGAGGTATGTTGTCAGAGACCAGATTCGAGATGAAGGAATGTCTCCGTAGCGGAGGGCTTTGGCCTCAGCGACTTCTGCCAAGAGCGCTGTGCCTAGTGACACGTCCGTGCCCTAACTTACTGACTGGCAATTAGAACCTAGGGGGGTAACTCTAGTTGATTTTACTACTGGGGTGTAACCTATGTACAAACGGGATATATATATATGGTTACAGCGAAGACAGGTCCGCAATTGGTGGAGCCGGATGGAGCGGAGCTAACGGGTTTAATCATTAGCCGACTGAATATTACCGACGAGTCGGGTCGTGGGGTTAGCGGAGAGGCAGGCGTTAACCCAGAAACGGGAAGGAGGGATAAGCCCGAAGGTAGGCTCTGCAGGGCAGGCGATTGTATTGCCCAGCGGAGGTGGGGGTGCGCTAGCGGACGTCGGAGCTGTCCGGAAGTCTTCGGGGCTCCGTACTTAGGGAGGCGTAGGTAATAAATTGAAATGAGGGGGTGGTGACCATCGAGGGGTGCCGAGAGGATTGCGGAATATGGGAGCTCCGAGGTTAGTGAAGGAGGAGCGGGGTTAGACCGGAGGGAACGGAGGGACCGGAAGTCGATGGCCGGGAATGGATATGACATATGTAGCATGTTTGCCTGGTTGGGGCCTGTACCGATATAACGGTCCAGAAGTATCTTCCAGGCCTCTTGCACATGAGATGCATTATCAATCAAAGTCATACACTGGTTGTTGATGTGACATTTGATGTAGGCACAGGCACATTCATCCTTTTCCATCCATTCCATATAATTCTGATCCATCATTGACAGTGTAGGTTCTCTGCTGTCCGACACAGCTTTGACTACATTCCACATATGCCCGACTTTGAGGATGGATTCCATTCTCGATGCCCATATTCAATAATTCTTACCCTCGGCATCTAAGGCCATGATAGGAAATCTAGGGTTGTCAATTGATGAGGAAGTGGTGGTAGCAGCTGCAGTAGCAGCTGGGTTTGAGCTGGTTTGGGACATGGGGAGTGGGGAAGGAAGGATAGGGTCCGGAGTTCACTAGGTTCAGAGTTGACTGGGCAAATAACCTATTGGAATTATGAACTAGCATCATGTAAGCTCTCAGTTCTAGATATGTGAACTGAGGGAGAGAGAGAGAAAATTTTCGTTCTTGTGGCTTTTAAGCCATCCACAACTGTGTCCATCAACATGGACTCCAAAAACAGAAGCATCAGGCAATCCTTCAAGGAAATGTCCGTGCACAAGAAATATGGTCCGATGGACTCAATAGGGACATTCACGGCACTCACAACTCGGGCAAAACTAAGTCACAAGAATGCCAAAACTCACCACTCTTGTGCGACAGTTTTCAGAGACTTTTGAGTAAGTTTTGAGTGTAGCAAAAGGGCGTTCACAGCAACAGGTTCAAAACACTGTCATAACAGACCCAGAGAATCAACCTGTAAGTCCGTTGGCCTTGGAGCATGTGAATGTATTATGTAACAACTATGCAGTCTGATGCCAGCAGTCCGCGAACGCGAGCGCTTGATCCAGGCTGCACTGAACCATGCTTCTCACCTCCAGACCAGATACCGCCACCACCAGCGTCGCCTTTTGTTACAGACAGAGACATCTAGCCAGCTTGACCTCTTATCTCTTAGCAACTCTGAGTCTGACAACAGCTCCGACACCTCATCTGATAGCAGCAGCTCATCATCTGATTCCACTTCCAGTTCCTCCAGCGCTTCCAGTTCCAGCCAAGCTTCCGGCACTCAGGCTACTTCTTCACATCACTCCTTAGCCGACTCTGACTCTGAGTCCAACCAAGCTGAGGTCCGGGCCATCATGCAAAGAAATCACACACGGTCAATGCGCCGTGTTCGGTACTTTTCATCTAGGTTGGCCACTACACGTGTTTTATTTCCACATGAAGTTATCAAGTGTAGCCAGCTAGCGCTTGTGCTGGACTGTTACAAAGCCGATGATCCACGAAGATTTCGGCACAACCTGCGCGTCTCACCCCACACGTTCGATTTAATGCTTCGCTTAATTGAAGACCACCCTACCTTCCTGAACAATTCTACAGCAGAACAAGTGCCTGTCTCCTACCAGCTGGCAATTGCATTATACCGCTTTGGTAGGTTTGGTAATGGTGGGTCTGTTGAGGCAGTTTCCCAGTGGGCAGGTTGTAGTGTGGGGACTGTTGTCAAAGCCATGCGGCGTGTCATAGCGGCGGTCTTGCCACTTTATGGTCAGGCTATCCATTGGCCAACCACGGAAGAGAAGCAAGAAGCCTCACAATGGGTTGAGCGAGTCTCTTGTCGAGCATGGCGGCCTGGATACTGTATGGTAGATGGTACACTTATCCCCCTTCATGCTAAGCCTGGCCATTATGGGGAACAGTTTTTTGACCACAAGTCAAATTATTCCCTCAGCCTTGTGGTATGTTCTGCATTTGTAGGTACTGGTCAAGACTGACTTCTAGACTAGTTAATCACGCTGCCCAACCTCCGCATAATCGACTATGTCCTTGGCCCTCCTGGAAGTGTCCATGACTCAACTGCCTTTAAGGAGTCGCGTGCATGGAAAGAATCAAATCAGCTGTTCCGTAGTGGAGAGTGGCTCTGGGCCGACTCTGCCTTTGGCCTGACCCCTTGGTGTATAGTCCCATATAAGAAACCTCAGTCCCTCATACCTGCTAATCGTCAATTTAACTACCATTTGTCATCGGTAAGTTGACAAGTGGCTACAGAATTTTTGTTATTTATGATGTGGGAACTTTAGGTCCGCATTCGCTCTGAACATGCAATTGGCTTCTTAAAAGGCCGATTCCAATCACTCCGAGGCCTTCGGCAACAAATCAACAGTGAACGTGACTACCGGTTGGCATTGGCATGGGTACGTACTTGCCTTATCATCCATTCACTTGTGTCCCGGGTTGAGGATTTTGAGTCGGAGGAAGAATTTGCACACTGGGTTGCCGAGGGTTTACATGGCCATGATGAACAGCAGGATGAAGGGGAAGTGGAAGGTTTTACTTGGATGTCAGCTGAACCTCCGCCCCCTGGTGAATTGGAAGCTCAGTGTAAGCGCCGTCATATTCAGGAGGCGCTGTTCCATGAACTTTATATGTAGAAACTATGTTTACTAATCCATGAACTAGAATGGGTGTGTGGTTTGGGAGGATCCCGAGCCTAGCCCATCATTGGTGAAGTTGGCTTGCAGCGTGCCAGAGGGTGGCAGCTGAGCAAGATAGGGGGGCACAAGTGGAGCCAACCCCATCTGTTGTGCTTGGATGCTGTACTTCAGCATCTTCCGCTCATGTTTCTGATCTTCACGTCGTTGGAGGGCATCAATGCGGGCCATGCGTTGTAAGTGAAACTGGTCCGCCTCTCAGCGGGTCTGCTCTTGGTCACGGAGATTTGCTTCACTGAAATCAGCAAGAACATCACGTCGTCCCTTTCCATTACGGCTAATTCCTCCAGCATTGTGAGTCAAACCAACTGGTGTAGGGGTCGGAGTTGGAGAATTGGATGTAGGTGTCATCGGAGTTGGCAAACCATGGCTCCCTAGCTGAGCTGTGCTTAGGACATTTGGTTTGACCTCGAGTTTGAATTCTGGCGGGACAAGTTCCAGTTCGGGTTCTGATGACAGTTCATTAGTGAGAAAAATAGGGGAATCCAGACCGAGAGCAGCAGTGGGGGGTGGATCCTAGTAGCCAAATTAGTAGTGCCAGCATAGAACAAGGAATACTAGTCTTGCTAACCTTGATGATTGACCTTGTGTTGGTACCCGCAGTGGCCACACCCAATACCTCAGTGTCAGGGCACAGCCCCTGACCCCACACACCCTCAGGTACCCTTCCCCCATTTTCTCCTATTTTTCCCTTCACTGTTCCACAATCCCGCATGCATGCAGACTGTGGGAACGTTCTGGGCGAGTTACTCGCCCAGAAACCATCACAGCCACAACCGTGGGAACTTTCTGGGCAAGCTGCTCGCCCAGAATCTTCCCACGGGGGGGTGCCAATTATGGAAAGTCGGCAAAGAGCCGAAAACTGTATAGTTCCCGGCTCCCATTTGTAGCGGCTTCACAGGAGGTTGAGAAGGTTACCCTTCTTCTCAACTCATTTCCTGTGAAGGCAAGTGTAACTAAGCTACTTCCTAAATGCGTAGCAACTCATTTCCTGTGAAGGCTGGGGCTAGCCCCCTCAGTGAGTTTGAAGACCTCGGACTGGGACTAGATACCCCAGCGACTCGGAGGATCCCCTTGGGCCCGTCACGGAACAAGGGCCGGGCCCTGACACTCAGGAGATTCTTGTGCACCGACTGCATGTGTCAGTCTCGGAGCCGCTTGCTCAAACTCAGCGACCAATGCAGCCATACCAACAGCAGAGTTTGATATCATTCCAATTGAGTGCTTCGGTAAATTACGCCACATGCCATCAAGATCATCAAACCAAGGGAATTTTGCTCGGATATCCTCTAATACCAATCAAAGACCAGCATGGCATCAGTGATAGATGAATACATTACCTCGCAAATTGGCATGGATTTCTTCACACTCCTCTTCAGACTTCACACCCTGACCAGTTTCACCGAGGAGTTTGATATATTTCTTGTACTGACTTTCCAGCCTACCCAGCGGATCATCAGCATATCAGCAGCATGCCAATTGACCGTCACTCACCAACTTATTCTACCCTGTATAGCTGTAGTGTATTGGTTCAGAGCTGCAACATAGAATTCACGCTCTGCCTCTTCCTCGCGGTCCCAGATGTCCTTTGCAATAGCTGCCCAATAGTCTTTCTTCTTCTCACCATTAGAAATCTGGGGTAGAATAAGATGTTTGGAAGGTATGAGCAAGCAGAGTGAATCACCTTCAGTCGGCCCTCGGCCTTCGCAGTTTGGATAGAATCACCACTCAGTTTCAACCTCACATTTGGATTCTCAAGCAGGTATGATACGAGACGGTCAGTCCAGTGGGGGTTCTCAAGCCACTGAACACGACGGGTTGCAGGAGGCTTAGTGGGGGGTTCAGCCTGGTTGCCAGTGTTCAGCTTTGATAAACGGCTGGAACGCTTCGAAACTGGCGCAAGTTCTGGGTCCAGAGCAGCAGGCCGCTTTGGTCCCATAGTTGGTCGGAGGAAATGAGTGTGGAGTGCCGCAGTAACGAGTGTGGCAGGTGGGGATGTTGTGCGGTGTGATTCAGGTGGCAGGAACTGTACAGTTACATCAGAAACAAACAGATGAATACAGGACGGGATTAAGACTCTTTAAAACCGAGTTGTGAAAACAGGCAGTTGTGGTTTTCACAGTCTTGCGGCCTCGGAGCCGCAACTCGAAAACACCCTCTTGTGGCACACTTTTCAAAACACACCCGACTTTTGAGCCACTTGTGAGTTCGAGTTTTGGCATAGTTTTGGCAGAGTTTTCCAGCCGTGAACGTCCCTAATGGACTGTCCACAGCATACCAAGAAAAAAGAGATTTCAACAAGAGAAACATTGCAGTCATACAGGAAGTCTTAAGCTACATGAGTTGAAATGGAACTGAGATAAGCGGGACATGTGAAACCTCCGTTAAGTCCGGCCGGGGTTACAGCTTAACCGTAACACAAAGCCGTTAAAATGTACATAAACATTTCACGTGACCTGAGACCAAAATGCCGAACGAATTTATTCGTTGATTCGTTTATCAGTTCAACCTGCTGGGCAACCGTAACGGGAGTCCTGTAAGATTGGCATAACCCTAGAGACACTTTTGGATGCCCCACGAGTTTCTAGTTACTTTTCGCTACTGTGAACACCCCTATTGTGTGTCCTGTCGGACCCGTGCCGGTTCTTTCCAGTCGCGATGAGTGGCCTCGACGCCATCGTCCATCGTCGAGATCTTACCACTTGGAACCGCTTCGTGTCGTCACCCCTCCTTTTCCTCGCACGATGGCTCTACCTTTCTGATGCCACGCTCCATACCAACACGCCCTACCCACAACACATACGCCTCGTCTGCATATCCGACACACACAACACCCACAGCTCTCAGCCTCCTCTCCCAGAAGGCGACATTCTTATTCACGCCGGCGATCTCACCCAGTCTGGTACAGACCACGAGCTCGACGACGCCCTCGCCTGGCTCAACTCCCAACCACACCTCCACAAACTCTTTATCGCAGGCAACCATGACGTCGCGCTCGTCTCTCCCGAAACGCGTGCACGTATATCACCAGGCCTGACATACCTCGAGGATTCATCCGTCGAACTCACCATAAGCGGACGAAAGTTACTCATCTATGGTAGCCCATACACACCCAAACACGGCTCATGGCCCTTCCAGTATCCCCGTGTCTATCCACCTCCCACCACCCTCCCACAACCCGAAGCACACGAGATCTGGTCAAACATTCCACCTCTAGCTGACGTCCTCATTACACATGGTCCTCCCTTTGGCCACCTTGACGCGGACAGGTTTGGATGCTACGCGCTACTCTACGCATTATGGCGCGTCCATCCGCAGTTACATGTGTTTGGGCACATCCACGCTGGCAGGGGCGTCGAACGCATCAAATGGGACAAGGCGCAAATGGTGTATGAGGATATATGTGCCAGACGGGCGGCCTGGGGCGGCTTGGTGAAGCTGCTGTGGTACAAGCTGACGGCTCGACTGTGGAGGCGGTTCTTAGGAGCTGACGTTGGCACTCTCTTGGTCAACGCTGCGGCGGTGTCAGGACTGAGGGATGACCAGATGAAAGGTGCGATTGTGGTAGAGATTTGATGGTAATTGCCGTATCATCACCGATCACTTGTCATTCACTAATTAATTGTTAGGTCCCATCTTCGTGCACTCAACAATATATGTAGCGGGCACAGTCTCTGCAACGCAATAAATCTATCTCAGTATTTCAAGGCCAGTCGGAACATGAAGAGGTTAAGCTCGTATCATCAGTACGCTAATGCCCTCCGTATGGTGACCTCATCATAAGGCCCCGAGTGTTCTGTGGCCCTCAGTGTCCATCGATCACTGCACTCACACAAATGAAGTGCCTGCTGGATCAATTCAAACTTGTTGCATGCCAGGCAGATGATGTCAAGTTTAGGGAAGATGTCCTGGGCATCTTTTATGACACAAGTATGCACGTCCTATATATAAATGGGATAATTGGGAGGCAAATCAGGTCAAGCAGTGCTGAATTACAACGTTCGAGACCCATCGCGACCGTTAATACCGTCACCCTTTCTGTGGCACCTTTCTTACCGCTGTTACTGCAGGCGATGGAAAATCGAGGAATCAACACGCGCGAGTCTTGTGATCAAGGAAAACTGGCATGACAAGCTCTCGCCCTTCTCCTATATCGTTAACAGCGGAGTTGTACTCTTATTATATAAGGATTCTTTGCAGCGCCCGTTTCGCCTCTCCATAAGGGAAAGTCTTCATGTGTCAAAGTATTGGGAGGCGAACTGGAGTAACCTGGAGATAAATTAGATAATCTTCTGTGATCTCTTCAATGCCGTGATGCAGTTACCATTTTCCCTAAGCTTGGCCAGTCAATACGAATTCGTTAAAGAGAACCCATTCCGGTTTCGAATAAGGCCACAGTTAGGATGTAATCGGACAAGCTGTTGGAAACAGGCATCAACCCTTTGCTGTTGAAATTTCTTGGTTTGCTGTACGCTGTGGACTACTCAACAATGTACCACGGACTACCCGATGCTTCTACTTTTGGTATCCATGTTGATGGACGAAGTCGAGGATGGCTTAAAAGCCACCTCGCGCGATTGATTTTTTCTTTTCTCTCTCCTCAGTTCACGTCTTTGGAACTGAGGTGAGATTCCTTTTCATCACTTGGAATATAGTCTAACATTGTACATATTTCCTAGCGCTTATATGCGACTGGTTCATTATTTCAATACTTGCTATTACTGACATTATCATGTGTGGACCGCACTTGGTTGTCCTTGACGGTTGAATATGTCTTTCCCTGATTTTCTCTGCATGAAGCATGCCCCCACCACCCCACTGCCCCTCCCAGTGTTTGACCCCCGGGGAAAATACAAGACAGACCCGCGAAAGCGATTCTCAACTTGCATCACCCGGATCGCCAACCACATCCTCCCAGGGACAGAGAGGATCAATCCCCTCCTCGAAAGCCCATGGGACATGCCCGAACACGACATCACGGAACGCATCCAACTCTTCACCCCGCCCAACAAACCCGGCGAGTCATTCAAGCAGGAGTGGGCTGATGACCACCTAGCATTCATCACTGAATGCGAAGACGACCCAGACATCCTCTTCGTATACTCGGACGGCTCCCGATACAAAGAAAATGGAAGGACCAAAACCGGATATGGCACAGTAGGCTACCAATGCGGCAAGGTCATATTCGAGGAGAAAGGCCCCATGGGCGAACATGTGGAAGCTTACAACGCGGAGATGAAGGGCCTGAAGATAACATCAGACGAACCCTGGGAGACGGTAACATCACCATAAGACCCTCGCGCATTGTCATATATGCAGACAACCCGAGTGCACTGAAACGCGTTTTCCAGAGCAAACCGCAAAAAGCGCAGGAGTCAGCCAGAGAATTCAGGAGGATGGTGTGTAAAATCCTAACTGAGTCCGAGGACGTCAAAATTGCACTACACTGGTGCCCAGGCCACCTCGGCATACCAGGCAACGAGAAAGCAGACCAACTGGCTAAAGACAGCGCCCACCTCAGACCAGCCCGACCAAACGTCAAATCCCTCTCATACATAGAAAGCCTACACAAGAGAGAGATGGCCAAAGCCTGGACCCACCGATGGGTAAACACCCCGAACTCCCCAAGATCGGGATTCTATGAAGCAAACCAACTCGCGCCGAAGCTGAAACCCACCAGACGCTTCAGCAACCTCGACAGAAAGACGTTTAGCCGAGTCCTGCAATTCCGCACAGGACACACCCACATCGGCGAGTACTACCACCAATTCGGCATCACAACGGAGAGCACAGAGTGCCAATGCGGCAAACCCACACAAACAAGGACTCACATCCTAGCGGAATGCCCCCGAGTCAGCAGACACAGACACCTACTTGGTCGTGGCAACCAGACCAGGTTCCGCATCCTCGTAGGTAAAATGAAAGGCATAGAAAGACTCGCATCTTTCATCAGGAAGTCCGGAACAGGCGACAAGAACAAGACCATGCGGTAAGGAGTACAAACCCACGGGCACGGACAGCAGGTTAAGCGAGGAAACATGCCAGATACAGAACAGAGCCACAGCAGAGAAGAGGAAGAGAGACAGCCGAGAGGAACAAAATAATTATTTCAATATTTCGATTTCTTTTATCAACACCATGACAACCCACTGACACCATAGAACCCGAGGATCCTTGACACCAGACGATACCAACCAGACTGCCCACACACACACTATGTATAGAATATTGGAATATCAATGTCCATGCGTACTGATATTTTCTTTATTGACGCGATATCAATTGAGGATATCGTATATACCTTTTTGTCTTGATGCACTCTTCATTGCCGGTTATAGCAGGCAGTCTGTCAGGGCAATAGCCCCGAACCCCGAGTCACATGTAAATTAGATACACATAGTCACGTGGGCAAGCGGGAACCTCTGGGCAACCGCTTACACACCACCGTAAAATACACTATCTTGTATCACTTACGGCCTTGTGTGCTGAGCCACCCTAAGACCTCACACTTTTTTAAGTGCATGAGGTGTGTTTTACAACACAACCCACAACTACACAATCTTAACATCTGACTTGGAAGTGCCTATGGCGCCTAAACACACCCACAAGGGCAAGGTCGCATCTGCAGCGACACTAAAAAGAAACCGCAATCTCCCATCAAGGGAGATTCAAACCAAAAGCCGTCATCAGACGACGACGAGGATCAACATGATCCGGCAATAGCAACCACCTCAGGGCTGGTCCCTGAAGGCTTTAGAAACTTACGTGGAGTAAGTGCGGGGCGAAATACCCCCAGAACTCCACAACATGCCGATCTAACCCAAGCTGGGGAAGATCCATCACCTCCTCACGAGGTGATCGACTTGCGCGAAAAACGTGTAAGCGCCGAACGATCAGCCCAAAAAGCTGATCGGATAGAGTCGCAGGAAACTCCAGGGCCCCACTATCCCCTGGAGTCCCCCCTCACGTCCCCAAGTCAAGCCCCAAAGGCAGACAAAGGGAAACAAAGGGAAGAGCCCCCGCGTCGGCTATCCAAAAAACTACTGGACTTGTTCCAGGTTCCGTCTGAATGGAGGACGGAAAGTGAAGATCAACTTCTTCTCAGGCTGAAAGCCCAAGAAGGTGCGAAAATACGCCCTGAGAGCAGGATCTCCCAGAGCACAGAAGCTCCAAAAGAACTTCCGCTGTTTACACTCCCACACACCATGCCAGACAAGGCAAGGTCGCCAACTTCGGAGGAGGTCTCCGAGATAATGAAGAGGAGGCGAACTGAAATGAGGGAGTTCGCTGAGGAAGCCTTACGTAAAAGTAAGGAGAAACCAGCGAACAGACCCCTCTATGAAAGGGAAGCACCCTCCGCAACGGCCTCGCCTAAACAAAGTGAGCGTGGAGTGTTCACTCCAAGAACCCATTCTGGAACCCCCAGAAGCGGAAATGTCAACTGGGGAGAGTCACTGCTCGCCCAACCAAACTTCCTCCTGGAAAACCAGGAATCGCGCATAATAAACGCGATAAACTCGATCCAAAAAAAGATCGAGGAAACGAACCATAATAGCATGGCTCGTCTAGAGATAACTCTAGAAAGAATGGCCAATGCAATCGACGCGTTGACTGAAAAAATCAGCGAACAAACAGATTTGCTGAAGGAAAAAAACTTCTCACAAAAAAGTGAGGAAACAAATAGACACCCCTGGACCACGGTCCAGGACATAAATAGAACTCGTGAAAAATTCATGAAAAGAACCACCAGTGAAAGCACACTGGAATATCATCAGCGACTCGACAGAGACGCTAAGGAGATCCTTCTCCCAAGGATAGGAGAAGACGATGCCAAAAGAAGGCATCATTCAGAGATTAGAAGGAGAATTGGCACGTACCAAAGGTTCGGCCAAACATCCACTTATGACGGACCTCTCAAACAGAGAGGTAACTCATTCACACCCTCTCAAAACAATGAGAGAATACAAATACAACTTCAGGCAAATTTGCCTGAAACCAAAGAAACGCTGTGAGGAAGATTTCCCCCAGCAAAAACCCCCCAAAGGAGAGATCTCCATTGGATAGCGACCCCGCGAAGGCAGGGGAGCAAGAAGAGTACCTGGAGAAATGGTACGAAAAGGCCATAAGAATGGCCGAAGTGAGAATACTCACTCCCTACCCAGAAGGAGTGAAGCCAGAAGCCCTAAAGAATGGGCCGGCATTTCCTGACAAGAAATGGTCAGGGGAGAACGACATGGAATCGTTCTGGCAGTGGTTCACAGAACTACTGGGATTCCTCGCCTCGCAAGGATGCAAAGGTCCCCAATTCGACGAAGTCCACCTGGACTGCTTGATTCGTGGATTAGGGGGACCCGTGTTTGACCTCGGAATTAGACTCCGAGATGAAACTCTCCTCAGAGGAGACGAGGGCATGTTCCTCGAAGTTCTCAACATATTGATGAGAACCTTCATCAAAGCCTCCACCGCGTTGAACGTGACAAAGAAATACTGCAATGTCAAATACGAAGTGGAAAAAGGCCTAAAACAGTTCTACTTAGAACTGTCAAAAGCAGCGTCCCAGATGGTGACGCCTCCAGACCAGGTGTCCTTCAACGCCAGGTTCCTAAACTACATTCCCCTCAAATGGAAGAGGGAAATGATCGCTCATGATAGAATCAGAGCAGACTTCTCCTCAAACGAGGAGATGTTAAAAGCAATATCTCATGTAGACGAGATAATTGACGGGCTGAAGA